AAGACGGTGTTGGCGGCCACGGGCTTCCTGTCCTTGTCGTTGGCCCGGGCGATGTGTGTCGCGCCGGCGCAGAGGACGGTGTGGTTGCGGAGCGAGCCCACGAGGCCCTGGTACGGGAGCGAGAGGTACGTGCCGTCTGTGCCGTTGACGCGCACGTACCCCGACCATACGGGGAGGCGGGAGGCGTCCAGGGTGTCCGGGGGGGTGGCGAGCACCTCGACGGTGACCTTTTCGCCCTTGGCGAGGGTGACTTTGGTCTCGCTGAAGCGTATGGCTGCCGAATCGTTGTAGAAATCGCCGGGGAAGACGCTGACGGATTTGGCGTCTGGCTTCAAGGCTGCCGTCGTCAAGGTGGGCACGTACGAGATTTCGTAGGTGACCTTGCCGTCTCCGTAGTTGGTGAGGGTGAAGTTCTTGCTGGGGGCAAAGTACGTCGTCTCGTTGAAGGAGAGACTCGAGGGCTCGAGGAGCGTCGTCGCAAAGGCGGCATCGTGGGCCTGAATCAGACCGGCGCCTTGCTGGGCAACAGGCGCGAGCCTGTCGTAGAACCGGAAGCCGTTGTTGAACACCTGCGGCTTGGCATTGGCGGACAGCAGGTTCTGGAGCAGCATGGGGTCCCTCGTGCCTCGAACCTCGATGAGGAGGGCGTAGATGGCGGCTGTCAGCGGGCAGGCCATTGAGGTGCCGCTGAGAACGGCATAACTCCCCTTTGCCTGGGGGTAGGTGGACAGGATATGGCCACCGGGAGCACCAAACTGAGGCTTAACGTCCATTGTCCACGTTGGGCCCCAGGTAGTAAAGGTGCTGGCGGCGCCGCCAGAGGCTGTATTGTCGAGATTCTTGACGATACGCTTCGTGTCTAGGCTGGAGCCGAGGGCCACGGTGACCTTGTTCCCTGCCTCAAGGTGTCGGACCCAGACCTTGCCCGTCTTCTTGTCGACGAAGCCGACTCCTTTGACGCTTTCGGGGATCTCTTTCTTGACATTCAATTGGGTGGGATGGGCGTCGACTGAGTTGTAGAACATGATGTACTGGGCTCCTTTGGCGGCAGCATTGGAGATCTTTTCATCAAAGTTACAGCTGCCTCGGCGGATAAGGACAATGTTCTTGCTCAAATCGGGCATGTCAGCAGGGAGAGGGGAACACAAATCCGCGGCCACCGATGTGTTGAAGGTATCGACCCAGAGAGGCAGCGTAGTGTTGAACTTGTTGGGGTTCCCGAGCACGTAGGAAAACTCTTGAGGTTTGTCGGCTCCCACGGAGACATTACCGTAGTTTATCAACGTGGGCGTGTGCACATTGTCATACGAGGCAATGGCCGCCACACCCTCACCGGAAGAGCCCGAGCTTGCGTAGAAGATGCCCTGGGCGCCTTCGTTGCCCGCAGAAACGGTGACAATGACACCCTTGGCTACTATACGGCTGGCCGTGACGGCCCACGCGTTTTGCTTCCAGCCGTTTGGGCTTCCAATGGACATTGTGATGATGTCGGCCCCGTCCAGATAGGCTCGGTTGATTGCTGCAATGATGACATCAGACGAGACGGAGCCGGCACAGCCAAAAATACGGTAGGCGCCGAGAGTTACCCCTGGCGCACCGCCGGTGAAGCCGAATTTCTTGTCGGCCGCGGCAATGATGCCGGCAACGTGAGAACCGTGTCCTTGGCAGTCCATGGGGTCGTCGTCTGGTATGCGTGCATTTTTCCCGTCGAATTTGTCGCCAACAAAGTCGAACCCTTTCGTGACCAAGCATCCTTTGCCAAAACATCCACCCAGGCTGGGGTGCTTGTAGTCAATCTAGAGGTATTGAGTTAGCAAGATGCAACATGGCAAAGGGGCATTGTCTAAAGGACTGAAAGGGGGGCGTTTTGGAAGAACCGACTGTTGCCGGCAACAACAGCAAAACTTACACCAGTGTCGATAACAGCAACATGGACACCCTTGCCGGTGTACCCCTTGGCGTGCAGCTTGTCGATTTGGGTCATGAAATGAGGCGAAAAATTGTTTGTCAGCGTTGAGTTGTCTCGAGCCTGGAGGATCTTCTCCCCATCAGGATTCCCCATCCAGTGAACTTGGGCATCGGGAATATTATGCAAGGTAATAGGCCACCACCTCTTAATGCTGGGTAGAGCAGCTAATTCGTCCACGATTTTATTGGCTTTCTCGAGGTCATGCAGCTGGACTGATACGCCTCTAAACAGCTCATAGTCGAGACCCATTCTGACGTCGCCATTTTTGCGAACAGAGGCCAAAGCTGGAGCTGTATCCTGTGGCATCCTCCTGTTAGACCTGGATTTGTTATTTCCTCATAATTGAGGCAAGGAATCGGTCAGCTTGCTCAACATACCTGGTCGTCTTCAAACTCAAAGATGAATGCGCCAGGAACAACTCTGGCGGAGATGATTACACCAAAGGCCGCTGCCAGCAATGGCACAGCTGCCCCAAGCCTAACCATGTTGTTAATGGGCTCCCTTTCAGTAGCAGGACAGATAGATTAGGACAGATGGACCAGGTCAGATGAGCACAGAAGATGAACCAAGAAGAAGAATCCGCATATGGGGCCGGCAAGATAGTTATACTAGTCTCCTATTCTCATCGTGGGCGAGTATTCATGTTGGCTGCCCATTGTCACCTTTGGCCCATGCAGCTAGGCAAAAGTCCATGCCGCGCCACGGACGCGGCTTGATCCATGCAACGTCACGTAGTAGTGTAGGTCACACTAGAATGTCGCATAATGGGAGACCATGAACGGAACCGGCATCAATTGACAATAACAGCGACACCAAGGCGCGCGAATGGCGGCCTGTTGCTTTGCCGAAGCGAACCATCCTGTGGACAGCCCGCCGAGCGGCTTCATTCTTGAGTAAAGTCCAACCAACCACAAAAGCCCAAGGATTGGAACAAGTTCAATAGGCTGGAAACATGAAATGAATCCCTACGTCGTGGCGTGTGGTAGGTTCAACGCCGACCGACGAGGCGTGGATCTCGAAATAAGCTCCTTCTCCATTCCGGGCAGACGGCGGGGGCCTAAGGCGGACAAGATCAAAGCCAAGGCCAATCTTCGTTTAAGTCGGCCTGACTATGTGTTAGCGGCCGCATACTATGAGGGAAAGTTAGAGATTGTAGAAGAGCTAGTGACCAGCTACGGAGGCTTACATAAGTAGATCTGGACAGGCACCGGGTCTTAAACCGTTTATTGTCTCTCGCGTTGACCAACACGTCAAGGAGCATTTGGTTTCTCTGCCACTCGCAACTGTTCGATATCCGACGGTCCGTAAAATGACGAAATGCCGTCTGCGTGATGGACGACATGGAACGTCGCCACGCCAAGACATGTTGGCCTGCTTAATCGGGGGTTGGGCGGACTTAAGACGGGATTATACGACTAACCAGCGAAGGATGTTATATCGGACGAGATCTCATTGTTTATGCTTCGAGTCCGCCAGTTTTAGTTGGCCAGATTGCAAAACGGCCAAAAGATCTTGAGGCCGCAACAAAACCGTACAAGTGCGATATCCAAGGCGGGGTTTCCTTGGAACCAGGCCGTGGAACATTCGCGGGCAGGAGCCAACAATGGCTCTTTCACTCAAGTGCTGCTTTATGAACAATGACGACGGACAAGTGGCGGGACCAACAAGAAAGCCATTGTGCCCGTCGATTCGTGTTTTCTTTTCGGCATCGTGGGAAGTGACCTCGAGCTGAGCGTCTATCTTTCGGCCATCCAGCGAATTTCGGCGTCGCGGTTCCAATGTCCAATGATTAAGCAGCGGCTGCATGGTTGTAACTTGGACTGGAATGCTTCAATAGTCGCCTGGTCCACCGCCCGCCAATACCATGCGTGTTCAGCCGTGGCGATGGGTTCTTGCTTCAAAGGATGACCAAATACTCTCGCTAAGCATATAGGTGTGACTCAATGCGAACTCAGGTCGGCTGTCTAGGGACGGATGAAGTGATGGGGCAGACGTCGATCTACACCGGGATGAGTCACTCGCCGACGGTGATCATCCGCCTCGAGAAAGGTGGCTTTTGAGAATGTGGCTGCACCTTGTTCTTGGCTGTACTCCGTAGCTTTTGAATATAAGTATATAAACAGCCCCCGAAGCAGGCCATCTGAGGCAGTTCCTAGCTATGCTCAGGCGCAAGGTGGGAGCCCATCGTGGGTAGAGGATGACACGGTGAGCCTCTGAACCCGTGCCTGACGCACGAAATACCAGTCGGAAGGAAGACACAATTCGAGCAAGGACAGCCAGCTGCCAATAGTGCGCTGCGCAACCTCAAGACTCAAACCCCCCTGGCCGCCTCGTCCTCACGAAAACGATCAACATCCCTACTTACACGTGATCCCCAGACTCAACAGATAGAAGAAAGCGGATTCTGAACCCCATACGGAGTATATTTCCCACTTTTTTGAAGCTTCAATTTCCACAGCCCTCGTTATGACACGGCGCACCAAGTGGTACGTGCCATGTGGTACGTGCCATGTAACATTCGGCAACAATGCTTTCCTATTACGCTACTTATGTTGTTGACAATTCAATTGTGATATAAGATGGTAAGTTGGCTTCGCTGTCTTTTGTTTCACGCATTGTCCAGCTCCCCTGATGAATGGATTTCACTCGCCGTACCGAACTTGTAATGTGGACTTTTTCCTACAGGCAATTGGTTTCGCCTGTTTCTGATTTCAGCGCACAGTCGTTTCTCACTCGTCTTTGCTCACCATGGGTTTCACTCGCGGTGTGCTAACAATCGTTTCAGGACTCCGCTGTGAAAATATCCGGACCCTCGCTCGCTCGCTCAATCGACTTCCATTGCCACATGACGGAGATTTGTTCGCTAGCCGTTTTAACTTAATTCGATGCCAACCCTGCCAATGTCTTTGGCCCGATGGTGGATAGTACATGCCATTACTACAAAAAGCGTTGACGAATGTTGTTTTGTCCCCGCTGGCGTTGCCGTTTAGTTTCCTGGCACATTCTACCAACTTTTCAAGTGCGGCCATTCTCATAAGAGAAGTGCACATATTCCCATTGCGCTCATGCCATCCTGCCACGTCCATACCGAGCCCGACTCCCTCCGATGCTGCCAACACCGTTGTAAAACATCGAGAACTGTTCCGCAGTTTGTAAACTCGGATCCCGACGTATCCAACACATCTCTCATGGCCCTTTCGAAGAAGCTCTGCTGATCACTTGCCGCTACGGCTCCGACAGTCGCAACCGGCCACGCCAGACCTCGAAATGTGACGCCAGCAGGAAGGCCCTCCATTGCGTCAACCACCCTGGCCACGCGGCTGTAGAGTCTCATGCTAGGAGATGGGGCATTTCGCATTGTTTCGATTTGGACCAAGGCCGCAGTCGCAAACACCATTGTAATCGCGTAAACCAACGCCTGTCGATCCTCCTGTTCACGCGTCGTCAGCAGTGTCAATGAAACTCGCACCGGGAACTCGAAACGGACCCCTCCCAGATTCATCCTTTCGATGCCCTCGTCTAGAACCTGTTCAAGAGCCTTAAGCTGCAATTCATCCGACTTTGAGAATCCTGACCCGGTTTTCCGTGAAGAAATTGTGGATATATCCCCGACTGCCTGCATCACCCAATTTCGACACCCCATCAGCCTCGACATGTCAATCTGGTCCAGTTGCAGCCATCTCTGATACCTTGTTTGCGGTGCCTTTCCAGTTGCCGTGGAGGCGAGAATATCAAGCCAGAGAACTTTTGTGACAAGAAACGGCTGCGCCTTGTCCACGCCATCTCCCGACTCCCGAGTGCCTGTCGAAGGGTGTGGCACGAGGATTTTGTTCACAACGGAAGTGAGGGCGTCCAAATGCGGCCGCCAGTTGTCGAGGCCTCCTCGAAATAGCTGGACCTATTAGTCTTGTAGTGGAAAGAAACCCACCCTTGACGGAGACTTACTTCAAAGCTGATGAGTGCCGAACCGCATGCCAAAAACTCAACCATTTGCTGCCGGCTCTCTGCAAACTTGTCCAGTTCACAGTCCTGAAGGACTTGCCGTAGCCGCTGCAGGGCGTTGGTGTGGTACCCTATGAGTTCTGATTCTCGGTTCCCGGGAGCACCCGCGCTCTGTGTATGGTGGTGAAGCGCCGAGAGGGTGAGCACGGCTTGGTGCAGCGGCCCGCGCTTCATGAGAAGCCAGAGGAGCCAGCCTCTGCCGCCGAGCGAGGGCTCGTCCTTGTAGTATGGATACTGGAGGGGGAATATATAGTCCAGGTAGTGGACCAGGAGCTGTGCTTCTCGAAATGCCATCTCGGGCGTTGTCGGCGCATCAGGCGATGCCGGGTAGCCGTCTTCTCCCTCCTGTCTTGGGTCATTTTGACGTTCGGATGGGCGAGCCTGAGAGGCCTTCCAGGCTTGCAACTTTTTCTTCCGGCGAAAATTGGAGTTCACCGTCTTTTTGACTCGCGAAAGCTCGGCCTGCAACTCCCATTGATTATCTATCCATTTTGGCTTGGGGCCGTAGCCGTGGCAGGCAATGGTGCGGTCGGCACACTCTCGGCAGATGGGGTGTTTCTCGTCGCATTTCCTGTGCCGGATGCGGCAGGTCCAGCAGCCGTTGGTGCTGCGATTCATGGGCGTAAATTGGGGCACGGAGTCATTCTTCACATTGCGGCGGGACGTAGAGATTGAGTGTGGCTCTAATGTGACATGAAGAGATCAATTACCGAAATCGATATGCGGTGACTGGACAAAGTGCGGGCACTTTAGAAGGAAAAGTGAGGAAAAGGAAAAGGTGGGGCGACATGCTTGACAGCGTCGGTTATGCTAGGGTTACTGCATCTCATACAAATTCCCAGGACGACTTGTCTGCTAGTACTGGCCTTTCAATAATAGACTGCGCTATGTACTTCAGCCCGGTCGCCTCACGATGTGCCAGGTAGTCTCTGCTCATCGCTGTCCCCAACTTGCGCACTCTAAATGTAAAGACAACACCTATCTAGCCACTTCTATGAACAGATCCAAACGATATATAGGAGTATCCAAAACAGAGCATCCCTTCAGACCCCTAGAAAATCAGAAACTTCCCCGCTGAAACCGTAACGTCAAAGGGATATATCCATTGCTAAAACACGAAACCGCCACGCCAGGTAAATCACAACTTGCAGCAACGATGGAGTCACAGCTGCAACTTGGCTCCCACGTGCTTATTCCAAGCAAGCACACTACCAATCAACTTCTTTCCCGGAAAATCGAATATCACGATGCCAGTCCTCATCGACCCCTTATCATCAATATGTGCATCCAGCCATTCGCCCGTCCTGGAATTCATCCCGACCTGCACCTTATCCAAGACCCCAGCAGCCGCCTGGATGGGCAGCACGCCAATCGCAGCCGAATTGTGCGTCACATAAAGTCGGTCATTTTTCAAGGGGCCTTGATTCGCTCTATTCAACGCCAGGTCGACAGCGGCCCATTTGGTGGCCAGATGACGTTCGCCATGGATGGCATAGTTGTCTTCGAGCACCATTTGCGGGCCGTCCCAGGTCAGTCCGTAGGTTCTCCCCTCTGCGCATTTAAAATCCTGAAGGATGAATATTTTGGAACGCAATTGGCCGAGAGTTGGGATGGGTTCACCGCCATCAGTGTACAAGGCCACATGTTTTTTGGCGCCGTCCTTGGTGTCCTTGTCTTGAAGACGTGCGTAGTTGAAGGCCGCTTCGAAGGAATACGAATCGCGGCCAACGGGGCTTCCTTCTTTCTTGAGACGCATGATGATCATTTCCGAGGGGTGCTTGTCCAAAAACTCAAACATCTGCTGCAGGACCTGCTTGAATGTGAAGCTGGTGTTTTGCTTCCCGTGGTATACATGCAGGCGATTCTCCTTGACCCTGGCGCGTATGTCAAAGTACCGCAGTCCGGCCTCCATCTGCACCGTCAGATTCCAGTTCTGGCACTGCAACACTCGGCTGCCAATGCGATATGTCATGGTGTCGTGGGTTCCAGGGATGCTCAGACTGGTGATGTTCGCCGCGTCGGGGACCCGCGCCATCCAGTCAGGCTGGTGAGAAAGATTGGCATCGAAGCTGTACGCGCTGGTGTAGCCATGGTAGGTGGATGCGCGGGTGGTACAAGCTGACGCCAGAAACAACACAAGTCTGAAGAAAGCCATGACGAGCAACGCTGAAGATGCAAACGAGCAGCGCGAGGGCTGCGAGCGATGGAATCAATGAAGCAGTGTTGTGCCCGGCATTTTGGGGGAGTTGGGGGAGTTGGGGAAGTTGGGGGAGAACGTTGGATCTCGTGGTGACTGTGGTGGCTGTGCCTGAAATAGAGTCTAGATCGGGTTGACGCTCGTACCGCCCCACCCCCGGACAAACAAGGACTAGTGTTATCGAGATTTACCCAAGCTGATAGGCTATTGAGTCGCCTTTAGGCAACATTGAATGCTTCATCCCGTCTAAGACGAATGCGGCTGGCGCCACTCAATGCTTCGGCAACATTCCGGCACCCGGAATTGGTCACATTCAATGTTTCCATGAAACGGGTACTCATCCCTTTGAGTGTGCGCAGGTGCCATTTTGGTAACGACTAAGGATGTTAACCAATTAAAGACATGAGATTAAAAGATACTTAAGTCACCTAAGAATATATATGGTAAATAAAGTGCCTTATATACTAGAAGTTACAAGCATATAAGTGGCTACCCTGTTATAAACGATGTACTTAGCAAGTACTAGAGAAAAGTGGAGTATGTACATAACAGGCACCTGCGCACAACGACTTGGTGGAGGCTTTCTGTTCTCCATGATGTAGCACCTTGATTCCATCCTTACATTGACATTCACATTAAGCTATGAACTTTTGTATTAGTCCGTACCACATGACCAAGCTAGTCAGTTTCTTAACCGGGTACGGAGTAGAAACAAAAAATTCCACAATGATCTAGTTGGTCAGGTGACGCGACCTAGCCATATGACTATTTCGTCCCGGATTGGCTGAACCCTAGTCTCCTAAACACAGTGATTAGGCAAAGCGATTTGAATTAGCGGCCGACGTAGGGTGACAAAAGAGCAGGTTGGCAAGTAATAAAGCTGGCTGTAGCTTCCCGCTTCACCAATTTAATATAATTTATCATAAGAGTAATTTTAAGTATCTAATTGATTAAACAAAATCTCTTTATAATTAATCAATAACTAGATGTCCTGTATCTTACCCCCCCCCCCCCCCCCCCCCTTTTTTTCCCTTCTTTCCCTTTTTTTTTCTTTTTTTTTGATTAACGTAATAATAATTAATCAATAAAGAAAATAAGTGGCTTATGCCATTCATGTCCAGCACCACGAACCTCGTGAAACACGCACTGTGACAAGGGCTTGATATCAAGGGCTCGGAGCGAAATAACTCTATTGAAAAATAATTTTGTAGGATGTCAAGTGTCCTTGATTCCCAGGAGAAAGAAACGAGCTAGTGACCATTATATGTACATGAGAGGAACAGCTGTGCCTAAGGCTTCCAGCAGGTCATGTGTTCAGTCTGTGTAACCTCGTAGGTCCTGTATCGGCGATGCCCCTTTGTTGGGCGTTGTCGTTGCTGAGCTTTGGCCGTGTAACACGCACATTATGTGAAACTCATCGTTAGTAGCAGCCCAAGAGGCTTCAATTTCTTAATAGTAGTACCCTGAGAGGCCTGAATTTAATAGCTTTAGAAGGCCCGATTTCAACAACAGCAGCAGCCCAAGGGGCCTAAATTCCACGGCGGTAGCAGCACTTGAGTTAAATTCAACAAAGATAGCAGGTCCTGCAAGCTGTAAAGCTCGCCGAAGGCGGCTTCCCCGAGGGAAAAAATTACAGCTTTCTCCGCTTTGCCTACCGCTAGGTCAACATTTCGTTGGCATCAGGGTCTTGTATCTTTTATGAACTCGGCGTGTTGAGGTATTTTTTCATGCCAAGCTAGCACGACTGATAAAGTCATTACTTTGGTCGGTTTCACAAGTGCAGACTGGCTTTACTGCCCTTTCGTGTCCTCCTGTGACAAGGGTTCAGTGAGGACTTGGAGCAATAACTCAATTCAGTTAACAATAGCCTTTGGTAGGTCCTTGGTTCTCCTCAAGGCCTAAAAACCGAGAGCTCTATTTGTACAAGAAGTCGGTGAGGGCCTTATGCCCTAGGTATCATGATCGTAGCCCTCGTGTGGCCGTGTGACACCCCCCTTACATGGAGGTTGCGAGTTCGGGTGTTCAAAAGCCGTAATAAGTATCGTCACATCGTTTTATCATGCTTTTAGCTTCTTTCTGGGTTACCAATGTCAAAAATAACGGTGACATCGTGAACCATGGTACCATACCTGTTATCTTCTTACTACTCCTGGCCCGGGACGGGACTGCTTCAAGATATGTTCACTAGCCTAACAGACCTGTACACCAAGCTGATGAAAAAGTTGCTCATACATACGCAATACTCAGCCGGGCAAGGATCGAAGAACCAGTGCTTTGGGTTCTCGCTGTTGGGACCTATATTTTCAGACGGGGAAGATGAGACCAGGATGATGCACCGCATGCAGACCCTTATGAGCCCATGCGTCTTAGTATCTTTGGATCTGGTCTTGCCAGAAAATTGCTTGGATACATTCTTTACCAACTAGTGGATACAGAATACGGAGAACATATTTAATAGAGAGCTTTTAAAAGGAGAATATGAAAGGGATCCCAGTTCGATAATATGATTACGCGGAATATGTGAGCCACGGATAGCTGGTATTATTTTTCCATCAGTGTGTGACACCACCGCTTACAGAGATATTTTGTCCAGTGATCCACCTGGCCTTCTCGTTGACGAGAAGAAGCACGGCGTCGCCGATATCCGCGGGTGTGCCGGCCCGGTCAGCAGCTTTCGTCATGTCAATCTGTGGCTGCATCATGGCATCCTTTTGTTCTTTGGGTATTATATCAGTGAGGACTGGACCGGGAGCTACCGAGTTGACAGTGATGCCTTTGCTCCTGCCAAGCTAGTTGCGGGGGGGGATGGTCAGCTAGACTTTGAGATTGTCGCGTGCTGCATGTAATAAAGAGACGTACCTCTCCGGCCCAAGAGACGCTCAGATTATCTAGGGCCGCCTTGCTCGCGGCATACGTCGATATCATCTCGTGGCCGAGCTTGGCGTTTGTAGAGGAGATGTTGATAATCCGGCCGCCGGGCGGCATGTGAGGGACCACGGCGTTGGTCATGTACAATGGCCCATTGACGTTGATCTGGTAGACCCTGTCGGCTTCGGCCTGGTTGATCTCATCCAGGATCCGGCTGACGTAGCCGACTCCGGCATTGTTCACTTTGGGCAAGGGAGCGGGGGTTGGGTTAGCTTTTGGTCAGATGTTGACTATAGCACGCAACACGTCCGCCGACGACACTGGATGCGGTGGAGTAGAGAGACGTGTGCGAGAAACTCATTCGCTTACCAAGGATGTCGATGTGGTCGGTTTGGAAACCCTCCAGCGTCTTTTGGACAATGTATTTAGCACCTTCCAAAGTGTCCACCGAGGTCTGGACAACAATGGCTTTGCCCCCGGCCTGCCTCAGCATCTGCGCCACATTGGCAGCTCGGCCAGCAGAGGAGTCTGATACATGATTGACAACTACGGACGCCCCGTTGCGAGCCAGGGCCAGGGCGATGCCAGCTCCGATGCCGTTCTCCCGTCCAGAGCCGGTAACAATGGCAACCTTGCCCTCGAGGGATAGAGTGTCGACGGTCATATTCGCGAACTATAGTATACCTCTGAAATCGAGTTCGATAATATGGTATTTATGATGGAATATGGAAGAAGAATGAGAATTGTATGGAAACGTCTGTTGAGAAAGAGGGTCGTCGCCCGCTTTATACTCGGACCTCGCTGCCAAAGGCCTGGGCTGACGGTATCAGCCATGGCCATCTTTTCCGCCCTACCAGGGGAATGAATCCTGTTAATAATGGACGTGTCTTCCCTGGAAAATGAGGCATTCCTTGGGCTTACAAATCCCCCACACCCCCCAAACGGCAACACCAGCAAGTGACAAGAGGTTCCTTTGGAAGATGGTGCTAGGCAACTCCGAGCCGAGAAGTGGAGACACAGAGCTGACAGGACGTCTCGAATTATCCATCCAGCGTGCGCGGCCCCGGACCGGAAACCTCGGAAGCCACAAAGGTGGACAACGCCCTTGGCCCCCATGGCCGCCAACTGCATCACTTATTAGGGTAGTCTACATATCGAATATGCAGAACAAGTATCCTCTTGCGACTCGAGCTTCATTTAAAGAGCTCAAGACAATATTTGGTTGAGCTAATAATTCGCTTCAATACAAGACCCTGATGCCAACGAGCAAGTTGCCCTAGCGATAGGCAAAGCGGAGAGACCTGAAGCCTGTAAGTATATTACATACTGGTAATTGTTTTTAGGGATTATGACTGGACTTTTTAAATTACCTCCTCCGGGGGCCCTTTAATCAATTAGATACTTGGGGACGCTCCCATCCCCTCTGGTTGTGTTAAGGCTCCAGTGGGGTTACGACCCCCACAATGCCCATGCTGATAGTGGGTGACCGTAAGGCGACCCATTAAGACCGCTAGGATTGTATGGAGTTAAATGTAGTGACTTGTAGGACACTAATTTTTTAGGTACACTTATTATCACTTAATTTCTTCGTAAGTAAATGTACCTTTTAAAATTTAGCTTCTTATTGGATATATATCCCTGCAGATACTCGGTTGGAGCCTTAACACACCAGAGGGGATTGTATATCATATTTAAGAGGCAAAGCGGGAAGCTGCAGCCAGTCCTGAGCTTGTTTGCCGACGTGCCGTTTAACCACTCTATCTGCCACCAATCATCGCGCTTTGCCTGATTTGAGGTCCTTGGTTCTTTCGAGGCCTCAAGAGGCTGATAAATCGACCTTTACTTACACAAAGTAGCGGTGAGGAAGCGAGCCTGGAAGCCTGAGGCTTCAACTAGGTCCTGAGCCCTTGTAGTATAGCTATCGCCAGGCTCAAGGGTCGGCCCGTGCCTTCAATGCAACGTGACCTCGGTGTAACAGCGGTCCCACAGAGAACCTGTCACACGGTCGGGCCACACAAAGGAGGTTGGTCCAACAATCACACAACAATAAAGGAAATATCACGAGGCCCGAAGTCACACCTAAGCGATGGTTGCCTCAGGTCTCGAACACATACCGACTCCTTTTGTATAGAGACCTCGAATCCCTCAAGGCCTCATGGGATACCACGGACCTTTGATACCTCAAAGCCGATTATTAAATTTAAATTGAACCCTCTATGCCAAGCCCGGTCAACCTTCCCTTGTTATAGAACCGAGCATAGAATCGCCCAAGACAGCTCTCATTACAAGCTCAAAATATAAAACATATTAGTACTTTGTTACGTAAAAGAGTTATTATAAAACATCTCAGATGATAGCATAAAAGGCTAATTCAAGAAGGGCCTAGGGGGCAAGTTTAATTTATTAAGAGTATGTCACAAAAAAACACTCTCTCATTGCGAAGCAATTAGACCTCCTAATATTTCGTTGGCAGAATACTTAGCAACCGTGCTCCAGATCCCTCAAAGAGGCAACAAGTCTCTGTGAAAAGGAATTAATAAAGGACTTGGAATAAGAGCTTCAATTCTACGCATGCTAATAACTGTTTTTTTTCGGTATCAAAATTCCTTGGTTTTGTCGCGGCCCTCGGGGACAGAAAGGCCTTATTTATACAAATAGTGGTGAGACGATCTCGACAACTTTTGCAACCATCTTCAAGTTCATGGGAAGATCCGTGCCGTGATGTTGTGTGACTTTCGTGGCACTCTGGCACTCTCGCACAGATACTAGCAGCGATTAAGCTAGCACAACAAGACTTGCTATCCTGAGAGTTTTATAGAATTCACAGCATAGATCATCGACTTTCTAATGCTATAGAAATAGCTCTTACTAATAGGAGAATATATGGACCTCAATCGTGCTGGCCAACCACACCTGTCAGAGAGAATCTATCGTCTTTGATTGCTTCCAAGATACTTTAGCTATTTCTCCATAAAATTAGCCTCCTAGCTCGTTCAGACCTATTACTCCCTAAAGCCTTCAAAAGAGTAGTATGGGACTTTTGATCAACCGTGCCAGCAGTGGTGCTTGCCCTACCTATAGTCTCTCTGTTATTGCATGGTTTCTGAGTCAACCCCTTTTTCGGAGCACATAAAAGTGGTAGTTTTTTTAAGCTTGGCATGAAGGGCAACGTTGTCTTTATTCATTGCTCTTCTGCATTGTTGATGCATTGATCGAGTTTGAACTCGGCACCCCTGTCAGCACAGACTCGCATCATGTCAACGCATTGGGGAATTCCTGAACAGTTTCCTCCTATTCGGCTTGGGCCGGCCGTGCAGCGGCTGTAGCTTGATGTGTCCAGCAAGGTTACCTCTCGTACCAGATACATTCCGGAGAAGAAGCAGCAATGCACAAGACATCGAGTCGACCAAGTCACATGGGCGCCGCCAGATTCGTTGTAGATGGAGGTAATTCACACAGGACGGAGAAGCAGGCCTGCAAAACCCAGCAGTTCAAAGTCCCAAGAAATATTCATGTATTCAACCCTTTCCCTCTTCAGTCACAATCTACCTGCGCTTTTCCAACACGCCCTCAAACCAATCCAGCAGCACCTGATTCTGCAACACACTTGCACCAACAGAACAGTGGTACGTGGCACCATCGACGCTCTCGAAAATACGGTGTGTGGCCAACTTGCCCAGCTTCTCGGCGAGGATCTTGCTTTGCCCGGGAATTACATCATCATGTTCGGCCTGTGCAACAAACACCGGCGCCGTGATATTCCGCACCACGCTCGCCAGATTGAAGTCTTTCAGCTTCGTCATCCACTCAAATGGCGTCTGGACATTGAACGACCACAAGCCCTGCTGAACGCCCCAGATGGCGGCTGTCTTGGCAGCTGGATCGGCCAGGCCCTGCTCGACGTACTCGTTGAAGAGCGTCGCGTTGCCAGAGCGAAAAATCGCCCTCAGACTCTCGGGGTACATGTCTAGATTGGCCGCGCCGTAGTCGTACACGCCGTCGACAGCAAACACAGCCGCGAGGCGGTGGTCAAACGCGGCAGCTCGCGGCGCAAGATATCCACCGAGTGAGTATCCCAGCAGGCCGATGGCTCGCGAGTCCACTTCTGGGCGTGTGAGCAGGTATTCGATGACGGGGGTGACAACTCTTTCCCAGTCTGGGATGAAACCGAGATTCTGCTCCCGGCGGACGGTCGGCTGCCCGGGCCCTTCGTAGCTAAGAACGTTCATTCCGCGCTGGAGGGCAGCCTGTCCGATGACGTGGTACATTTCCTCCTGGGCGCCGTCATACCCGTTGCCCAGGATAATGGTTGGACGGGGGCCGGGCATGCCGGTGCCGTAGAAGATGGCCGGGACGGTAAACTCGCCATTCTTGGCACGGAGGTTAATGCGCTGTCCTGGCACGGGAAGCAAGGCAATGGCCGAGTTGAATGCCGCGAGGTGTCTGTCCCAGAGACTGTAGATGCGCGGGTCGCTCCAATTGCCGTGGAGGAAAAAGTCCGCAGAGCGATAGTACGTTGCGGCCTTGAAGAATTGTTGGCGGGCAGATATCGGGTTCTTGCGAGCGTCGATTGCGCGGGCAGTATTGTCGACACGGGTGGCGAGGTCATTGAAAACGTGGTAGAAGCTTTCAAAGTCCTTGGGTTTTATTTTTTGGGCGGCGACGAGGACTTCTCCAATGTCAGCGCCTTGGTAGGGTGCTAATGATATGACGCGCAGAAGCTCATAGTGGAAGTCAGGGTCGGCACTGAGTTGGATCGTGGCATTCGATGTCAAGTTTTCTCTTCTCAAGTTTGAATGGATTCCCGTTGCAGCCTGTACAGCAGTTGCCTATGTATTGAGGTTAGGAACATGGCGTAAATGCGATAGGTTAGATGAGATTGGTCCAGCGTCAGGACATGCTTACATAGGCGAGGAGAAGTGAACATTGAGATAGCTTCATATTGCCTCCAGCCGCCAGAGTTATAACGTATATAGTAGGAACAAAATTCGCGCCTTGAAGCCAATAGCAAAAGAAACTTGATGCGTCTTGCATCGCTCTGGTGATAGACCATCCAATGCCGGAAATACTGGCAAGCTTATATACTTGATTGAGTCGATAAACATGACATTGTGCTTCACATCACCCAAGGACATAGCCTTCCTCGTTGTCGTCTAATCGGCGCCATCGCCACGACCAGTCTGCCGCTGAGCGATCGGTTAGATCCATTTTAAGCAATGCCCGGAGGCCTAGTATGACTTCGGTATTTCAGAGAGACGGCACGAAATACATGAAGCAAGCTTTGTCGTTCTCGTTCATGGTTCTGTGGCCCCATTTCTTGCACAGCCTTGAAATCATGGAGCCATCTCGTTGTCGTTTACTAGCTCGCTTTGCTGTAGACTCTGCCGACGGAATAATTGTCAGTCTGCGTGCTGCTCTTTTTTCGGAAAAATGGCCTTGGTCGGAATTTCGCCTTCGATGGATTGATATGTTCGATTGAATCGATTCCTGCTAGATGGAAGAAAAGCGTGCTGATTGATAACAGTTGTGCGGCGGCTCGACCTTCCTCCCCAGGTGGCGGCTCGACCTTCCTCCCCAGGTGGCGGCTCGACCTTCCTTCCCAGGAAGACTGTCTCCACAAAAAATCGGTTCGCAACTTCGCACGACGATCGTTTGCGACTCAAG